CAATACCTTTATTATTTTTATGTGGTGCTGAGGATTGAATCCAGTGCCTCACACCTGCAAGGCAAGTGCTGTCACTGAGCTACAGCCACAGCCCTGCATATTTTAAATTTTGAGACATTTTTAAACATGTATTAGATACATGTTTAGCAAATGTCTTGCTAAATTGCTTAGGGACTTGCTGAGGCTGGCCTTGAACATTCAATTCTGTCTCGGCCTCCAGAGTTACTGGATTACAGGCCTGTGTCACCAGCCTAACAAGTTCTGAATTTTCAAACTGAAAAATCCATTTAGTGACAAGTGAAATGAGTGAAAAGATTCATGTCAATATACATCCATGTGAAATTTCACAATTTCAATGATAAAGTAAAAGTCTTAAAAGCTTATATAGAAGAGGAAATAAGATGATAAAAACATGAGACAAAAGGCAACAAAATGAGACAGGCTCACATGAGAATTCTCATTAGCAAGACTGGAAACCAGAGGGCAATGGAGAAGTGGTTTCAAAGGTGTGAAGTTGATTTTGATTTTGAAACCATTACTCAGCCAAATTATTACTCATGTGTGAGGTCAAGACTGACACATGTTTTTATACCTTTATTTTATTTATTTATTGTTACATAGTGCTGAGGATCGAAMCCAGGGGCCCGCACACGATAGGCAAGCATTCTACCACTGAGTCACAACCCCAGCCCCAAGACTGACACATTTTTGAACATGGAAGAACTCATAATGTTACCACCTAATGCAAGTACTAACACTAATTATTTGAGAAAATTCATGAAAGAAAAAAATAATTTGCTAATCCCAATARCTTAGGAGGGCTGAGGCAAGAGGATAGAAGGTTCATCAACTTTTAGCAAGGTTTTAAGCAACCTAGTGAGACCCAACCTAGTGAGACCAGTTCCAAAATAAAAAATAAAAAGGATGAGAATATAGTTTAGTGGTTAAGTGCCTCTGGTTTCAATGCTGGTACCAAACAAACAAATAACAACAACAAAAAGGAAAAAAAARRAAARRAARRAAAAAAAAAACAATTTGCAAGAAAGAGAATGACATGAAATTTTTAAAAATGTTACTTCTTAAGGAGACCCTAGAAAGAAAGAAAGAAAGAAAGAAAGAAAGAAAGAAAGAAAGAAAGAAAGAGAAAAAAAGAAAGATGACAAGAAATCAAAGATAATCCACTGGATGATGATTTCTGAAACATCCTCCCTAAAGCAGCAGGGGGTTACAGTATCCAATATAGGACTTTTATATTCTGAGTCCAAGCACAATATTTTGTTAGCAGTAAGTACTTATATAATCACAATTCTGCAAAATTCTGTTTTTATTTTAGAGAAATATGTAGACAAAATATAAACTATCTAGATGGAATATTACAAAACTGAGAGAGGGTAAATGAAAGAAAATTTATCAAATAGGACTAAATTTAGTATTTGAGTTACAATGGTAATCTCTGGAAGGGGAAGGGAGCCCAGAACATTGCTAAGGGGAGTTATTCATAAACAGTGGTAGTAAGGGAGGGTGTATTTTCCCTTTTTCTTTCTTATGACTTTCTGTTTAATTTTTTTTTGTTTACCCCATAAAACTTCAATTATTTTAAAAGGGAAAAACAGGTCACTCTCATCAATAAAGGGTACAATAATTATAATATGAAATTTCACAATTTCAATGATAAAGTAAAAGTCTTAAAAGATTATATAAAAGAGGAAATAAGATGATAAAAACATGAGACAAAAAGCAACAAAATGAGACAGGCTCACATGAGAATTCTCATTAGCAAGACTGGAAATCAGAGGGCAATGGAGAAGTGGTTTCAAAGGAGTGAAGATTGAGATGTCCAATAGAATATGGACTAAGTGGAGAAAATGAGATAGTATACGTAGTTGATAACATTAAAAATTATAAGTTAAAAAATAAACTTCAGAAATTACCATATATTATAAATTAATCCTACTCATATAAAACAATCTTATGAATGAGTGTGAATACATAAATATTGGTAAGATGTTTTCAGATTTTTAACAATAATTTACTCAAATGGCAAGAGTCTTTGAAGAAACTTCATTACTGTAGACTACATTTTTTTCTCCTTGGTGGTACTGAGGATCCAACTCATGGCCTCATGCATGCTAGGCATACGCTCTACCACTGAGCTACATCCCCAATCCTGTGAACTACATTTTTAATAAGAAGATTTTTTAAAAAAATATTTGTTTTTTTAGAAGTAGTTGGACACAATACCTTTATTTTGTTTATTTTTATGTGGTGCTGAGGATCAAACCCAGGGCCTCACACATGCTAGATGAGAGCTCTACCATTGAGCCACAATCCCAGCCCCTAGTAAGAAGATTTTTAAACTTGGGTACTTTTAAATCTAAACTACATTTTTTTACTTTATTAATCTTTTTATGTATGACAGCAGAATGCATTACAATTCATATTACACATATAGAGCACAATTTTTCATATCTCTGGTTGTATATAAAGTATGTTCACACCAATTCGTGTCTTCATACATGTACTTTGGATAATGATGTCCATCACATTCCACCATCATTTCTAACCCCATGGCCCCCTTCCCTTCCCCTCCCACTCTTCTGCCCTATCTAGAGTTTGTCTATTCCTCCCATGCTCCCCCTCCTTACCCCACTATGAATCAGCCTCCTTTTATCAGAAAAAACATTTGGCATTTGTTTTTTGGGGATTGGCTAACTTTACTTAGCATTATCTTCTCCAACTCCATCTATTTAGGCAAATGCCATGATTTTATTCTCTTTTATTGCTGAGTAACATTCCATTGTATATATATGCCACATTTTTTAATCCATTCATCTACTGAAGGTATCTAGGTTGGTTCCACAGTTTAGCTATTTGTGAATTGTGCTGCTATAAACATTGATGTGGCTGTGTTCCTGTAGTATGCTGTTTTTAAGTCCTTTGGGTATAAACCGAGGAGAGGGATAGGTGGGTCAAATAGTGGTTCCATTCCCAGTTCTCCAAGAAATCAATCTCCATATTGCTTTCCATATTGGCTGCACCAATTTGCAGTCCCATCAGCAATGTATGAGTGTACTTTTTCCCCACATCCTCGCCAACACTTATTGTTGTTTGTATTCTTAATAGCTGCCATTCTGATTGGAGTGAGATGAAATCTTAGAATAGTTTTGATTTGCATTTTTCTAAATGCTAGTTATGATGAACATTTTTTCATACATTTGTTGAATGACTGTATATCCTCTTCTGAGAAGTGTCTTTTCAGGTCATTGGCCCATTTATCGATAGGGTTATTTGTTTTTTTGGTGTTTAGCTTTTTGAGTTCTTTATATATCCTAGAGACTAGTGCTCTATCTGATGTGTGTGGGGTAAAAATTTGCTCTCTATTCACCTCACAGATTGTTTCTTTTGCTGAGAAGAAACTTTTTAGTTTGAATCCATCCCATTTATTGATTCTTGATTTTAATTCWTGTGCTATAGGAGTCTTATTAAGGAAGYTGGGGCCTAATYCCACATGATRRAGATTAGGGCCTACTTTTTMTTCTATTAGGTTCAGGGTCTCTGGTTTAATTACTAAGTCCTTGATACATTTTGAGTTGAGTTTTGTGCATGGTGAGAAATAGGGGTTTAATTTCATTTTGTTGCATATGTATTTCCAGTTTTCCCAGCACCATTTGTTGAAGAGGTTATCTTTTCTCTAATGTATGTTTTTGGCACCTTTGTCTAATACAAGATAACTGTAATTGTGTGGGTTTGTCTCTGGGTCCTCTATTCTGTATCATTGGTCTACCAGTCTACCAGTCTTTGGTGCCAACCAATATCATGCTGTTTTTGTAACTACTGCTCTGTAGTATAGTTTAAGGTCTGGTAAAGTGATGCCACCTGCTTCACTCTTCCTGCTAAGGATTGCTTTAGCTATTCTGGGTCTCTTATTTTTTCCAGATGAATTTCATGATTGCTTTTTCTATTTCTTTGAGGAATGTCATTGGGATTTTGATTGGAATTGCATTAAAATCTGTATAGTGCTTTTCGTAGTATAGCCATTTTGATAAAATATTAATTCTGCCTATCCAAGAGCAAGGTAGATCTTTCCATCTTCTAAGGTCTTCTTTAATTTCTTTCTTTAACATTCTGTAGTTTTCATTGTAGAGATCTTTCACCACTTTCATTAAATTGATTCCCGAGTATTTTATTTGTTTTGAGTCTATTGTAAATGGAGTAGTGTTCCTCATTTCCTTTTTGGAGGATTTGTCACTGATATACAGAAATGACTGTAATTTATGGATGTTGATTTTATATCCTGTTACTTTGCTGAATTCATTGATTAGTTCTAGAAGTTTTCTAGTGAAACTTTTTGTGTCTTCTAGGTATAGAATTATATCATCAGCAAATAAGTGCTAATTTAAGTTCTTCTTTTCCTATGCATTTCTTTTGTCTGTCTAATTGTTCTGGCCAGTACTTCAAGAACTATGTTAAATAGAAGTGAAAGAGGGCATCGCTGTCTTGTTCCAGTTTTTAGAGAGAATGCCTTCAATTTTTTCTCCACTTAGAATGATGTTGGCCTGGGGCTTAACCTTTACGATGTTAAGATATGTTCCTGTTATCCCTAATTTTTCTAGTGCTAAACTATATTTTTATTAGCCATTTATCAGTCTGTAAGTATGCACTAATTAATATTTTTGGTATTATTCTAAAGAGAATAAATGTAATTTTAATAATGTTTAAAATATTAACATATTAATTATTCTAGCTGTTACCCAATCTAGTGAACTCCAGACACATTATTAGTCTCTAAACAGTATTTTATATTTGGAAAAAACTAAAACTGAACCAAAATTGGGGACTTTTTGTATATAAAAAATTTTGAAAACATATAACAACATAAAAATCAAGTAAGTTGGATTTTTGGTATTAGAAAACTCTAAAAACTATTAACATTATTAACTGTCTATTTTTGCTTCAAAGAACATTAAAATATATGTAGTAAAAAAATAATGTTTTCTTACCAGGCTATTTTCTTTCCAGGCTTCTGGGAACTTGGGTCTCTGTTTTTCCCTAGATACAAGAACCTGCATATCTTCAAAAGTAGGATGATTTCCAACTTCTGTCTGAAAAGCCATCTGATATTCTGGTACAGATTCACCTGTGTGTGTGTAGAAAAGAATGACAATATTTTCTATTATCATAAGTGAGACGAATAGGGGTATTTTTGATAGCAGGTAAGCCAAAGAAATTGTACATGTTAAAACCTTTCAGGTATTTCGAAATCCTGTTATAGGTTTAATGCTTTATTAATAAATACTGAGAATAGTCTCAAACATTTTTAAGAAATCAAATGGTAATTTCAATGACAARAAGGTTTTTTTTTTTTAATTGGTGCTAGGGATCAAACTGAGGGCCTTGCACATGCTAAGAATGAACTCTACCACTGCGCTATACCTCTAGCTCTATACCTATACCTCTGGACAGTTTGTTTGTTTTGTTTTTAAATTTTTAGTTATAGATGGACACAATACATTTTATTTATTTATTTATTTATTTATTTATTTATTTATTTATTTATTTTTATGTGGTGTTGAGAACTGAATCCAGTGCCTCACATATGCCAGGCAAGTGATCTATCACTGAGCCCCAACACTAGCCCTTTCCTTTTTCTTTTTGAGACAGAGTCTTGCTAAGTTGCCCACATTGGTCTTGAACTCTTGGACTCAGGCGATTCTCCTGCCTCAGCCTCCTGAGTGCTGAGATTACAAGTGAACACCACTGCACCTGACTTAATGAAAATGTTGATAAAATTAAATTTATTAATAAACATACTGTGCCATACAGAAGACCCCTGGGACCAACACTTCGAAAACCAATGGTCTAGTGGAAATCTTGGCAAAGAACCAGGAGAACTAGACTCTTCCTGGATCCTCATCCCTGTCCCAGCCTATTGAAATGACCGAATAAATTAGAAGGAAGAACACCAGGATGGGGGTTAGGGCAGTTAGGTTCTAATCTTGAGAACATCTCTACTTCAGAAAACTCATTTAACCACACACACACACACACACACACACACACACACACACAAACACACGGTAGCTCAGTGGTAGAGGACTCACCTTGTGTGTGTAAGGCACTGAGTTTGAGCCTTGGCACTGCATAAAAATAAACAAATAAAAATAAAGGTATTGTGTCCATATTCAATTAAAAAAATATGTATACTATAAAATATAAATATAAAATATAGGGCTGGGGATGTGGCTCAAGCGGTAGCACGCTTGCCTGGCATGCGTGCGGCCCGGGTTCGATCCTCATCACCACATACAAACAAAGATGTTGTGTCCGCCAAAAACTAAAAAATAAATATTAAAAAATTCTCTCTCTCTCTCTTTCTCTCTTTAAAAAATATAAAATGCCATCTGTGAACTGCAATATATTTTATATTTATAAAATATAGTATATATATAAAGTATATATATATATATATATATTTAATTGTATATGGACACAATACCTTTATTTGTTTATTTTTATGGAGTGCCAAGGCTCAAATCCAGTGCCTTTCACATGCAAGGTGAGTACTCTACCACTGAGCTACAATCCCAGCCCCTTGTATTATGTTTTCAAAACAATCCATAAATTCCTTCAACAGTATTAAAAAATTACTGATTAATTCTATAATTTCTGTAATCTATACAGCAGAGCCCAAGTTATTAGAATATGATACTACCTATAAATACAAGTAATATTTTCTCATACTGTAAACTCTGAAGCAATACTTAGTTCTGATCAATTACTATTAACACTAAAYTTGAGAGACAAATCTGTTAAATCATGCCAGTTAGCATATCATTTTTTCCTTGAAACTCATTATAAAACCTCAGTTCATGCCATCTGTGAACTACAATATATTTACTAGTATATAGTATATATGTCTCTTGAGATATACACAGAACACATACATACACATATATTTCAAGTATTATTTATTAGCTGCTATTCTTCAAATGTTGGCTTAGTAAAATAATTAAAAATACACAATTCTACTTATTTGTTGCAATTATGTTCAAATTTAACTAGAAAACTTGCTAAATGAGATTGATGTGCAATCTTGTATGAATGCAGTGACATTAAGAATTATCAAAGAAATCAAGTTTGGTGGTGCACACTTGTGAAACCTAGTTATTTGGTAAGTTAAAGCAGGAAAACTGCAAATTGGAGGATAGCCTAGACAACCTGGTAAGACCCAGTCTTGAAATAAAATTAAAAAGGGTTGGGGATACATCGAAGAGGTGGAATATACCTGGATTCAAGCCCCTGTACCAGAAAATTTTTTTTTAAAAAAATAGCAAATAAATAAAAATCTACTAAATCTTCATGGTTACACATCTAATTGTTCAATAGATACTTGTTTAGAGCTAACTTAATGTGAGCACAAAAATGAATGTTAATAACAAACTTGTCATAGGAGATTTTTTAGTTCCCTTCTCAAATTATACTTATTTGCTTTCTTCCTTTTACATTCTCTTATTCTTTCTTCCTTCCCTTTCCTTTATTTAAACTTTGTAGCATTTCACACTTCCTTTATAATAAGGACACATAACTCATTTATTTTACTAATATTTTATATAGAGAGCTTTTTAAACAATGTTTCCATTTAATAATAAAGTATGTACTGCATTTTGAGGTATATCATAAAAATTTAAAATGTCTTGTTAGAATTTTATAATTATTATATGCTATTCTCTAGGCTTATTAATGAATTTATGTGATCCTTTTTTCTTTCAACTTCCACCCCATTTCATTGTTAAAATTTTTTCAAAGTGCCTTGTGATTTCTTAACAATTTTCTTGCTATATCCCCTGTAATATGATTGTTATCTTCTCTATTTCACAGAAACTCCTCTAAAAAATGCCAATGACCTCCTCCCATTCAAATTAAAACACCATTCCTCAGTTCTATTTCATCTTGACTTTGAATTACACTTATTGTCATAAATCTTAGTTCTTAAAGATTTCTAACATTGACTTCTAAAAGACACTACGATTTTTAAGTTTTCTTATTATTTTTTGATCATTTATCTTCTTAGTGGGGGAATGCCCCAATATCCAATCTTTAATAACCAATTTTTCTCTCTTCTCATTTGTTCTGTTTATAGGAGTACATGTACTCATAAATTCTCTCTCTCTCTCTGGTGCTGGGGAACCCATGCTAGGCAAGTACTCTACCACTGAATTACTTTAATCTTAATTTTCTCAATATCTTTTTTTTTAAGGTCTTTAAAAATAAACTCTTCAGGAACTGCAGTTGTAGCTCAGTGGTATAGCGCTTGCCTAACATGTGTGAGGCCCTGGGTTCAATCCTCAGTATCACATAAAGAAAAATAAATAAAATAAAAGTCTTGTATCCATCTACAACCACACACACACACACACACACTCAAAGTTAAAAATAAATAAATAAATAAATTCTCCAGTTGTTTATCAATACCTTGTGTCCAAACACATCCACAATTAAATTAACCTTCCAATATAAACCAAGATCTATTCCTAAACTTGTGGCTGCTATCCTCACTATTTCTCAGACCTCTGAATGCTTCTCAATTCTTCTAACAGCTAATACAGCTTTCTCTGCATTTGCTCTCAGATGTACTACTCCTTCACCATTTCCATAGTGAGATTATAAGATATCCTAAAGCAATTCTCTTTTTATTCCTTTATTTTTACTTTTCACTATGGTAAAATATACATAAAATTTAGCATTTGAACCATTTTTTGAACCATATTTAAGTGTATAGTTCTGTAGCATTAATTACATTCACATGGTTGTGCAAACATCATCATCTACCTTTAGAACTATTTCTATCTCCCTAAATTGAAACTCTCTACCCATCGAACAATAAATCCCATTTCTTTTTTCAATTTTAATTATTTCTAGTTCTTTTCTATTTTAACCAATCCTACATATTTGTTAAAACAATTTTGTGTAACAAGATCTAATTGTCATTCCCCATCAAACATCTGATATTGCCTTTTTTAATGCTTATGTGGTGCTGGCCTTGCACATTCAAGGCAAGTCCCTCTACCACTGAACTACAACCTCAGCCCCTGATAGCACTCTTCATTATTTATAAGATCAAAAGCAATAGTCATTCTTTGATTATTGAAAAATTAGTAAAAATTTTAAAAATTATGTTGCTGGTGACAGTACACTAATACTGACGAAAGATCATTTTAGTCAGACATGCTTCTGAAACCAAAATACTAGATTAGAATGTTAAAAAAAAAACCTGTGCCAAAATTCTAAAAAGAGAATCCTTGTGATATTACGACAATTATTGCTGTTTTCAGAAAAATGCCTCAATTGAGACTCTGTACTTCTTATTAACTAGAATGTACTTCTGGTGACTCCAGAAGCTGAAGCAGAAGGATCCTTAAGTTTGAAGTCAGCCTGGGCAAGTTAGTGAGACTCTGTGTCAAAAATATAAAGAGCCAGAAATATATTATATATATCTATTATAATATTTTATATATATATATATATATATGTGTGTGTGTGTGTGTGTGTGTGTGTGTGTACATACACATACACACACATTTCTGGGTAGTAACTGGATGAATTATAGTTAATTTAAATAACCATTAATTCATTTCATTATCTATTTAGAATTATAGACTAATTTTTAATGCTTAATGCCTTTAAAGCAAAAACAACTCAACCTCATTATGAATTTGTTTTTATTAAACAGATCTACTTTATAAATTTGTCCAATGCTGGCTCTCTTTTCTATGCTTTTCATGGTATTATTCCTATAAGACTGCATATATCAAATCTTTTTGTATAGTATCCAGGAGAATGGGAATATACAGATTGATAAAGTTTTTATATGATAATAGTGATGATGTAAAATTCTAACAAGGGGAGAAAAGTTATAAATCACTTTGACTATCTCAATTAAACCTCAAAGAAGCAATCATATTAAATGAATATTCCTTCACTGAAAGAAGGGAGAAGAAGAGAAGTTCAGAAAGACAGAGGGAAATGGAAAGAGAATACGGGAGGAGAAAATAAAGAAGAGAGGAAGGGAGGTGAAGATGCAGGGAAAAAAGGGGAGAATGAAAAAGAAAATGTGTTTACAAATAACCCATTGCATGGCACTAGAGCAGATTATGCTAAGTGAAGCTAGCCAATCCCTAAAAAACAAATGCCAAATGTCTTCTTTGATATAAGGAGAGCAACTAAGAACAGAGCAGGGAGGAAGAGCATGAGAAGAAGATTAACATAAACAGGGAGGAGAGGTGGGAGGGAAAGGGAGAGAGAAGGGAAATTGCATGGAAATGGAAGGAGACTCTCATCATTATACACAATTACGTATAAGAGGAAGTGGGGGAAAGGGGAAAAAAAACAAAGGAGAGAAATGAATTACAGTAGATGGGGTAGAGAGAGAAGATGGGAGGGGAGGGGAGAGGAGAGAGGAATAGCAGAGGATAGGAAAGGCAGCAGAATACAACAGACACTAGTATGGCAGTATGTAAAAACRTGGATGTGTAACCRATGTGATTCTGCAATCTGTATACGGGGAAAAAATGGGAGTTCATAACCCACTTGAATCAAATGTATGAAATATGATATGTCAAGAGCTATGTAATGTTTTGAACAACTAATAATTTTAAAAATCACATCACAAAATATTAAAAAAAAAACAAATAACCCATTGCTTCTAATTCCTTATAAATGTCAATTCAAGAAACAAATGTAGCTTATCTCAATGTTCATAGAGTCCATCAGGAAAAAGACAACAGCTAAAGCAGAGATTAACATAGAAAAACCATTACTGGCAATTAATTCAAATTGTACTCAGATGAAAACTTGTAGTCCTTTTTAAAACAAAAACAAAACAAAACAAAAAAACAATGTCCTGATTCACATCTTCTAATAATGTCTCTGAACACTAGATGGCAATGAACTAAAGGTTTAAACAAAAGTAAAAAAGATGTTTCCACAAAAACTGAGTTATTTAATATATGTGAGACAGATATAACGGTTTCACTTCAAAATATACATCAATTTATGACAGCAGTTCTTACCTGGGAAGAGGTCTGTACATCTCATAAATATCTCCCAATAGATTAATCCAAGAGCATACATGTCTACTTGTTTCAAAGCTGATTCACAGTCCCTCAGATTCACAGCTCCTTCTAGCACTTCTGGTGCCATATATCTAATTGTGCCAACCTGATAAATTAGAGTGATACTTTCAGAAATAGAATGTAGTATGTTATTTGACCCTAAGCATGTCACTGACATAAATAATTTATCTCAMCTGTGCCCTTTTTGAACAATTGAACTGTGGTAAATTCATTTAAGCAAATGCTATTCATCAATCAGAAAGAATAAACTAGGAATTCCCATGTGTATCAATTTTAAAAACTTAAGGCATAGTAAGAAAATTATAAAACATTGTGTATATAATTTAATATATATTTAATATATATATATATATATATTAGTTGTAGATGGACACAATAGCTCTATTTATTCCTTCATTTTTATGTGATGCGTAGGATCAAACCCAGTGCCTCACACCTGCAAGRCAGGTGCTCTACTGAGCTACAGCCCCAGCCCCCTAATATTTTTAAAAGTTCACAAAAATACATGTATGTATATATAGACATGTGTATGTGAATACAGAGAAAAGGGTAAGGAAGGATATGTTTAACATTGTAATAGTGACTGTCAGATGGTGAATGATCTTATATCAAAATTGGGAACTTTACTCTTGCTTCAAAAATCAATTCCTGCATACTCCTTAATGTTTGTCAAAATGACTTAGAATGACAATGATTTTCAAAATGAACTGATAATTTTAAAAGGTCTTTTATGCAATGTATTTGGTATTTCTTAATTTTATAATTCCTAATATTCTGTAACTGGAAGTTTATAAGGATAATTGTCCTGAACATAATTTCAAAGTATGTTAGTGTGATATTTTTTGTATACACTCACCTCACTTATGGCTGCATTATCTTCTTCCCCTGGGCGCACCAGTCTATTTCCAGTCAGCCTCATGGACAACCCAAAGTCACTAATAACACAGGTTCCATCATTTTTCACCAGGACATTTCTGCTGTTTAAATCTCGGTGGGAAATTGCAGGCTTATAATGATCTGTTTGGACAATTTCAAATATTTATTAATGCTTAAACATAACTACTGAATATGAAATGAATATACAAGTAACAGAAACTACATAAATATAGAAGATGTTATTTTTTTGCCCTTTAGTTTTCTAATTAAAAAAAAGCATAAGAAACCAAAATTTTAACTCACTTATCACTATTTTATAATGTATGTTACCACACAACACTTGTTGCATGTATAGGTAATTAAGCAGTAAATATTCAGCTTAATCTAACAATAAACATGCTGCTGCTTCTAATTCTAACACAAACTTGTTTTTTCTCTTCCTTTCTAGGGCAGCAAAAGGAGGCAATATAGAAAGGTATATCTGACAAATTGGCATAAACACCAAAAAAGTCAGCTTTTCTAAAACAAAAACAAAGATCAATAAAAAAACTAATGTGGTTCTAAAATTTTCATGTCTTAAGAGTGTTCTTTTTTAAAAAAATTTTTTAAGTTGTTGATGTACCTTTTTATTTATTTTTTTAATATGTGGTGCTGAGGATCAAACTCAGTGCCTTACACATGCCAGGCAAGTGCTCTGCCACTGAGCCTCAGCCCCAGCCCCTTAGAGTGTTCTTCTATAGCTTAATAGGTGAAACCTGTGACAGCACATCCCGGTTCTGCCTGAGATTTTTGCCATGTCTCTGAGCCCACCTCAGCTCTTCAAATCTAACTAAAAATAATTTACAATGGATCAAGAGAACAAGTAGAGAAGCTGGTATCTTCTAGAAAGTTATGAAAATTTGTTCTTTGATTTTACAGAARTAAAGTAGTATTATACTGATTCCACTCTTAATTATCCTTAACACTACACCATAAGCTCCATGAAAGTAGAAAGAGAACATATGAAAGTGGAAAGAGAACATATTATATCTGAACTTAAAAAGGCCTGGCACAGAGTAAACAGTAAATTCTTAACTGATTGAAAGAATGAAGCTAACCTAAGCCTGTCATCTAAAACATTATATTATTTTTTCTCTATTTTTAGGGAAACATTATATAAACCTTGTATTTAAAAAAATATAGCTGTCACAATTTCTGAAGTTTAAAATATTTCCCTAGGTATATAGAGAAAAAGAACAATTAGAATCAAGTCAATAACAATTATAATCAAGTCAATTATTGAATTTGGTATTTAGTATTTGCATTTAGATTTAGTATATAGACATATTATTTCCATTAGTAAGCATTCAAATGCAATTTATCAACAGTGAAATTACAGAGGATCATTTTGTTGATATAAAAACTAAATCTACAAAACATTTTCTTCTCTTTCTACTTATTTTTATTAGTGCATTATAGTTGTACATAATGATGGGATTTGTTGTTACATATTTGTATATACACACATTATAATTTGGCCAATATCACTCCCCAGCACTTAATCCTCCCTTCTCAACTCCCACCCCCTTGTCGTCCCTTTTCTCTACTAATGTACCTTTGATTTTCATGGGATCCCCACCCACCACCTTTTTTTTCTTTTTTCCCTCTCTTGCTTCCATATGAGAGAAAACATGACTTTCTGAGTTTAGCTAATTTCATTTAACATAACAGTTTCTAGTTCCAACCATTTTTCTGCAAATGACATAGTTCCATTTTTCCTTTTTTTTTTGAATTTTTTAATTTTCAACAAAACATTTTGAAGAAAAAATRGGAGTTAAATTTGTTCATCTAAGAGTTGATTTCTTTCTCATTTTCTTCCTTTCCCACTTTCTGTTCCAGTCTCCCATAGCTTATATTTAACTTGGCTTCTACTCAATTCCTGTAATAGCCACGTCTCTTATACTCTGAAAAAAACTAAATAGAAATAGTGGCATAACCTTGAGCTAATATTGAGCTAATATTTATATAGGAAAATTTATGGAAACATTTGATGATGTATACTAATATCAAATCAATATTTAAAGATCTCATACTTCAGGGAAAACTAAGCTAATGAGGAAGAATATGTGACAAGTTATTTCCTGCTATTACTAAAAAGGAAAAAGAAAAGGTAGGGAAATGGAGTAAGAGAAAAAAGGCAGTGGGGAAGATAGAGGAAAAGAGAGAAGAGAGGACTCAGCACCAAAGCAAAGGGAAGAACTACAGAGTATTCTTTTCAGTTGACTTTCCCCTTCTAAGTTCCCCTAAGTATTCTTTTTAACCTTTTTGAGTGTGTAAGCCAGGGGCAGAATATACAATGATTTTGCCTTGGGCATAATACTGCATTAGACAAATATGTCAAAGAAAAGTATAATATTATTTTAAATATATATGTGTGTATATATATTTATATCTATTAATTATACTTTCATATATTTTATAATTTATAAAACATGTTACAAAATATATTACAAAATACATATATATTTTTAAACCTGAATCAAAAAAATTTTCTGTGGATATTTAGACACATACATATATATATACAGAGCAAAGGACCCAGAAGGATAAACACAAACTGCTTAGTAATTTTCTGGTGAAGTCTGAGTAATTTATATATATTTTTGTATATTAGATTTTTGTTGGGCAACAAGCACACATTGCTATTATCATAAGGAAAAAATTCACAGGGAAAACTAATTACAAATAAACAGGTTCAACTCCTTCTTATTCTGAAGCAACAAATAACTGAAATAATAATAATAGTAGTAGTAGTATTTCTTACTAAGGAATTTATATTTTAAGCAAAAAAATTTATATCTGAAGATACTGGGAAGAAGAAAATTCTCTGAAAGGACACTTTAAATGTTTTAAAATATTACTGTATACTTGGGAACACCTTTAAGCAATAAATAAATAGCTTTATGTTTATATTACATGAAGTTTTTAAAAAGTTAACTAGTGATAATATTAGCTAATGTTTGAGAGTAACAGCTCTGTTTATTAATTTCAGCCAATGTTTGACTTGAAACCTTGCTGAATCATGCAAAGCTTGAAAGGGGAATTAGGATGGTATTTTAAGTTCTGTGCTAAGCCAGCTTTTAAAAGGGGTTGCAATATTTAATTGAGTAAGGGAACACACAGCCCAATGGTTAATGTGCTAAAGCCCTAGAGTAAGTGCATCAAGTTGCTGACATAGACAATAACATAGGTCAATTCTGTACTCAGGAATATCAAGATGTCTAGATAAATGAACTAATAAATTATTCAAGAGAAATTATTTATATATGAAGCATTAGCTAGAAAAGATGATCTGTGCTATTATACAATGGAACAAAGATCTAAGAAACTGATACATTAAAGTTCTCTTCATTAAAGAGGTCAGGAGATTAAAAAGCAATGTCAGGGTTACAGTTTGATAAGAAAATGTGCTAGGGGATGAAAGCTTAAGAAAGTACAGAGACAGAATTATCACAGCCAAGCTAATTTAGGGGTTCCTGTGATGTGAGATGTATATTGAAGTAAAGTGAAAAAGAAAACGTATTTAAAAGAGATGCTTTCAATAACTAGCAAAAATGTGCATAAAAGCTGAGGAAAACTGTAGTTGTGACAAAAAAATACAATACAGTTCTGAAACACTTGCAAAGACTGACATCTTGTCATGTACTCTCCCTTTCTTAGTATTAGAAGCCAACTAATTATCTGAGGCAGCAATGCACTCAGTAAAACTCAAAAAACAAAAACAAAAATAATATTCCCAGCCTCTTTTGCAGCTAAGAGTGGACTAGTTCTGAGAAACAAAACATGAACATGACAGTGGAACTTATGGAGATAGAAGGGAACAAATCCATTTATCTCCTCTTCCTCCCCACCTTTTTTTCCCTACCTAGGATACAGCATAACAATGAGATAACTTTGAAAATGAAAGTTACCTATTAAGGATGGTGTGCAAAGAAATATAAGTGCCTCAGGCCCTGATAGTACCATGGTGTTACCAAACCAATTCTGGATGGTTTGGTAGTTTTTTTGTGTGTGTRTACGTGTGTGTGCGCGCGCTGGGGATTGAACCCAGGGCCTCATGTATGCTAAGCAAGCACTCTATCACTAAACTGTATTCCCAGACCTTTAGATTTTTACATCAGAAAAAAAAAACATTTTATTGAAACTACTGTTATTCCCACCTTCCATCCTCACAGATTTAGCCAAATCTAATTCTAGTTAATAGAAGCATGGATATATAAAAATACACATTAAGTATACTAAAGATCAACCTACTGAATAAAGACCTATGTGATAATAGAACAAAAGAAGTAATTACATATTTAATTCATTTAAATAAACAGAATAAGGAAAATATAGCCTAGCTAAGAAGTTCTTAACCCAAGGTCCACAACTCTTTTTTTTTTTTTTTTTTTGCTGTGCTGGGAATCAAACCTAGGGCATTGTGCATCATGCCAGGCAAACACTCTACCACTAAGCTACATTACCAGCCCAAAAGAATATTTTTGTAAGTATTCTCCCATGGTTATTACTAGAGCTTTAATTAAATTCTTGATGGAATCCATGACTCCTCTAGATAGTCTTTAAGTTTTTTTCTTATTCTTTCATTTCAAATATTTCCTCATGCTGAATAATTCAAACAATTGGTTAATAATAAATGCCTAATAATACAAATCATACTTTGAAGATAGGATTACAATTTTGAACCCACATGTGTTATTCATCTTTTATTCATTATCTTACCTCCTCGTGGTAATTCTGTGTGAAGATAAGCCAGTCCTCTAGTCACAGAATGAGCCAGACGGCAAGAGCTTACCCAGTCACTTGTATGGAGACTCAAATACTTGCAAAGAGATCCCTTTACAGAGGAAGAAAATGTATTTAAAAATTGAAATAAATTTATTTTAACATTAAGAGGTAAGTTAGCAACCTTATTAAGGATTTGCATAGGCTAGGATTCCATGAAGATTTAATGAACCATTTTAGAGAATTTTGAAAGAAGTAGTAAGGCATTTATATGTGAAGAAAGAAGAGAAAAGAATTTAAGCATCAATTTTTCATGTCTCATTCATACTTAAAATTATGAATGATTATTTCCTTTTAAATTCTTTGATCTATCAAATTAATTTGAAAAAATATCTGTTACTAATACAAAACTATTAATGGTTTATAATAGAAAACAGAAGAATTTTGTAAATATATATAATGTGTCCTCTGTATCTGCATGTTTTTCATTCATAATTTTGACCAACCCAGATAAAAAAATATTCAGGGGCTGTGGGGTACATCTCAGTGGTATCTAACATACACGAAGCTTTGAGTAGACCCCCAGCACCATAAAAAAGAAAAATTCAAAAAAAATTGTATCTGTACTGAACATGTACATACTATTTTTTCTTGTCATTATTCTCTAAACAAAATATGAATAACAACTATTAACATGACATTTATTGTGTAAGTAATCTAGAAATGATGTTCATGGGTTATATGTTAAAAAAAACCTACTCATCATTTTATATAAGAGACTTGAACATCTGCAGTTTGGGTATGTTTGCAGGGGGTAGAAGTGGTTCTAGAAACAATCCTCAGGATACTGAGGGGTACTCTCCGTATCTGTATTACTCAAAGTGCTTATCCACAAACCACTACCAGTCTCTGATGAGATAAGGAGCTTACACCAGAATGAATGACAATCAAAGCACTGCTTCCTTCACTGAGAAAACCTGGTTACAGAAAGAGAAAAGAATAGAAAAGAAGGGAGAGGGAGAGAATGAGAGAGGGAAATGAATAAACAGTATAATTAGTGATGTATTTGATTCAAATTATGGCACAGGATCTTTATCTCATTGCAGACCATTAATAATGAATTTGCGTACTAGCAATGCTTATTATGGTGGTCTTCCTGAAAGTCTGATTGACAGCTAGTATCAATGATTGTTTATTTCTTCTAAAGAACTTACATTGGGATAATACTCCATCACAAGCAAATACTCCATGCGTCCATCTGCAGTGACTCTCTCATCTCCAACTATAAAGCGAGCAATGTTGTCATGTTCCATCAAAGGCACTCTGTAAATGTTTTTTTCGTTGATAAAATTCTGACGGTTTGCAAAAGAAAATACTTTTACAGCTACCGGACGTTCATCCAAGGAACCTTTATATACTGCTCCATATCGACCCCGGCCAATCAGCTGTGAAGTTGTTTTTAAAAAGGCAAAGTATTAATTCACATCAAAATTAAATAATCAAATTTAAATAATGAAGCACAAATTCATGTAGTATGCTACACATCTCTATTGCTAATAGTTTACTCCATTATTAAGAAATTACTGAAGTCTGTATCTGGTATGACTGAGGAAGTTCCCACCCAACCTAGCTGTCTCACAGAACAACTGGAAACTCTGGACAAAATAAAAACAAACAAACAAAATATCTAAAGGCACTGGAGAATAAGTAAAAGGAGGTAGACTCTAAAATACCTCAAGATTTAAAAGAGAAAAATGGCATAAGATGAGCTCCCTATTTTTGTTTTTTAGCTTGATGCAGGGTTCAATCAGCTCTGTGCAGTAGAGTTAAAATGACAAGGGGAAATCTATAATCTTTCTGGACCTAAGAATCAGAGAATGTAATTTGGGGCAACTATAGCTTCTGCAAAGTGCAGATAGAATCCTGAAAAGGATGAATTCGGGGGACAGACTCTAGCTAAAGATAAAATAACTGAACCAAGACTTGAGCTTCTGCCTAAGAGACAAGTTTATAGTATGTGTTACTTACTAAAATAAGTAAAAATCAGCACACTTTCGGAGAACATGATAGATATAGTRCAGGTCTCTACAATAAAATAGTCACAATATTTGGGATGCAATAAAAAATTACTCAATATACAAAGAACCAGCAAAATGTAACCTATTCTCTTCATCTTTGGTTTCTGGGGATTTTTCTCACTTTTTATTGAAATGGGTTGAGAATTTATCATTATTGATTTAAAAACATGTGTTATATATCATTATTTCCAGGTAAAAACTTCACATGCAGCCTGTTCTTCACAAAGGCTGTATCAAAATATAATTAAATTAGCAATTTTTGGTAAAGTTTCTTTCACTCAATCCTAGATAATGTTCCTATTTTTTGCAGGGGGCAGGGGGTACCGGGGATGGAACTCAGGGGCACTCAACCACTGAGCCACATCCCCAGCCCTATTTTTTATTTTATTTAGAGACAGGGTCTCACTGAGTTGCTTAGAGCCTCGCCAGTTGCTAAGGCTAGCTTTGAACTCACAATCCTCCTGCTTCAGCCTCCAGAGCAATTGTGATTATAGATGTGTGCCAGTGTGCCCAGCATATTCCATGTTTTAATTGGTATTTCTTTCAGTCTAGTAAACTGGACATCTTACTACCTATTTATTAGCCACATTTACTTTTCTAAACTGTCAGTTCATCTCTTCTTACATTTTTATGCATCTTTTCTTTCAAATTGACTCATAACAGCTGTTTATCAATTTTCTTATGTATTGAAACATTTTTTCAAATTTGACTTTTTAACTTTCTTAACTATATTTTTATGCAAAAAGAAAATTATTACAATGTTTTTATATAGTTAAATCTATCATATCTATTATTTAGTTTGGGGACCATAGTTATCAGGTCATCTCTAATAAAAATCATAAAACCACTCATCATATTAAGACTTTTAAAGTAGCTTCTGARATATTACCAAATGAAACTTAGCAATAATTACAAAACTTGGTAATTATTATAACAGTCCACAATCTAAGAACAACCTTACCTCCAGCAGTTTCAGATTATCTAGATCAAGAGAGGGCTCTGACGCTGCTGCCTCCATCATGTTCATACTATGAAGACCTTGTTTACGGTCTCCTATAAGAACAGGAAAAAGCGTTACTAACATAGTTTTCTTAAAATGATATCTTTATTACACTTTTTACTATGTTACAGTTTTTTAAAAGCTGCAGAAGGAATAGAATTATTCATCTATAAATGAAGATGAATAATAAACAACATGAAACTAAATTCTAAGTGATGATCCCATAATGATTTTCTTAATTTAAAGTTTAAAACCCTAAGAAATAGTGTAGAAACTTTCAAGATTTTATTAACGTTATTTAAATGAATGAGTGAYTGATGATTTCCTAAACAACCCATTAAGCCTAAAGTATATTAATGGTATCCTTAATTTGCTTCAAAATAATTCAGTGGCATGGAAGTGGGTAGTGAGCGGGGATTTACATGAAACAATATTGCTCATATATAATAACTGTTGAAACTCGGTGACAGGTATTTTGTCTGAATTTGAAACTTTTTCCAAAAACTGGGGAAATTTTTTGTTGAAGACAGAATGGGAGTTTCAGTAGCACAGAGTTGTTTGTATTTTTTTTTAACATTCAGCATAGAGATTTAAATAAAAGAAAATAAATTCTGATTTAATAGCATGCTTAATAAATGATAGGACAAAAAGTGGTATTTTGTTTACCTGTCAACATTCTGTATCCGAAGCATAAGGCAACTATCAAAACAGCTAAGACAGAGACAGATGCCAAAGCAATGATTATTGTCTCATCTCGGTTAAATGAATGAGGTGGACCTAAAAGAAACAAATTTTAAAACACTGTCATCCTTTTTGTTTCTGGAGATACTGGGGATTGAACCCAAGGGCACTCTACCACTGAGCTACATCCCCAGTCTTTTGTATTTTTCATTTTGAAGACAGGCTCTCTGAGTTGTCGAGGCTGTCCTCAAACTTTTGATCCCCATGCTTCAGACTCCACAGTAGCTAGGATTAAAGGTATGCACCATTGTGCCCTTTTGTCATTCTTTTTAAATAAAAGTACTTTATTAAATATTGACAGACTGCTCTTTAGAAAGGCTGTATCAATAGATAAGCAAATAAGTTATGTTTTTGCATGAAAGGAAATGAGAGAAAAATAATACATTAATCATGAAGATTATCTTTCCCCCCAGTACTATTGAACTCAGAATCTCACACACACCTTGAGTATATATCCAGCCCTTTTAAAAATTTTTCATGTTGAGCCAGGGTCTTACTAAATTGCCCAGACTGGCCTTGATACAGATTATCTTAGACTTGAAAACACTTTAAAATCTGTTAGGTATGCTCCTAATTATTGATACATCTACATTGTGGAATAGCATAGACAGGATAATATAATATTTTCGGGGGATAGTAAAATATTTAAGAGTACAGCCTTTAGAATCAGACAACTCATTCTGTGGGATTCTGAAAATTTTGACTTTCAGTGCCTCCATTTCCTCATTTATAAAAATGTACCTTGTATGTCAATTGAGGCTTAGATGGAAGTCTACAATGTCAAGCATATATTATCTATGCAATTAATGTTAACTATATTAATCAATATGACATGATTAATATTAATGAAAAGAACATGGCTTTGTAGGCAATTAAATATGAATTAGACATAAACTCACTTCTTTTTTTTTAGTATTTTTTTTAGTTGTACATGGACACAATACCTTTATTGATTTATTTACGGGGTGCTGAGGCTCAAACCCAGTGCCTCACACATGCCAGGCAAGAGCTTTCCCACTGAGCCACAACCCCAGTCCCCTTAAACTCATTTCTTTCACTTATTGCATAACCTTGAGAAAATTTTTTCATCTGTCTGAACGTAAGTTTACTCACTTGCAGAATGGGGACACATATTTCTATATCAAGGGTTATAATTACCATGTAAACATGGTATGTGTTATTTTAATTCTGTGGGTCAGATCATATCTAGAGCAAATCTCTTTAGGATAGATGTCCACAAACTAAAGCAGTGTGTCCAAAATAAAGCAAGTAGAGCATAAAGATAAATGACTCTGAATTGTGTAGGTACAAAAAACTGAAAGTGTCCAGTATAAAGAAAAGAGAGAGAGAAAAAAAAAACTTGGGAGAATTCAGCTGTCTCTTGTGGAAAAATGGAAGTATTTTGTTTTGAATAGCTAGGGAGAATAATGAGATTCGATTAATGAACATTCAAGACAAGTCTATGGCACAGAATACAGAACTTATGACTTACAAATAGGGCTGTCTAAAATTAAATGAGTTACCTATGAAATAGCTGTTAATTATTTTACCAGAGGCATTCATAAAGTGTTTGGTGATACTCACTAGAGGCTGGGCTTAATGACTGCTAATTTCCTTATTTAATCTTTTTTTTTTTTTTTTTTTGGTGAGGGGGTCCTGGAGATTGAACTCAGGAGCACTGAGCCACATCCCCATCCCTATTATTTATTTTATTTAGAGACTGAGTCTCACTGATTTGCTTAGTACCATGCCATTGCCGAGGCCGGCTTTGAACTCATGATCCTCCTGCCTCAGCCTCCAGAGTTGCTAGGATTAAAGATGTGCACCACCACACCCAGCTAATCATCCTTCATATTCAATAAAAATAATGCATACTATATTTTAAAACTTTCTTGATTTGGACATTATAATTATATGCCATATTTAAACTATAAGTTTCTATGGCAAAGTAAGAAGCCTCTATGGCAGAGAACTCCTCTGATGGGTATTTCTGTTCTAAATGAATTTATCTCAGTCAAATTAAGTACACTTGCATATTTAAATGTCACAAAAATATTTCTAAAAAGACTCAAAGCACTGAAATATTTCAATTTGTTGAATATTTATTAAAAAAATTAACATAAATTAATAAAACTTAAAATAATTTTAACATATATAGTAAGTTATATGCAGAAAAGCTACATATAAAAATTTACCTTACTATAATAGCGAGATACTAGCCTGGCTACAATTAAAAAAGGAAAATACAAAAGTCTGTCAAGGATGAAGAGAAACTGGAACTATCATACATTGCTGGTGGAGATATGAAATGATATACATACATTAGAAAACAGCTTTGGGGGAAAAATGTTATACAGAATTTCCATTATACCTAACAATTCTACTCTCAGGCATATACCCAAAAGAACTCAAAACAGGTATTCAAACAAAAACTTTTACACAAATGTTCATATGTTGACAAACGAATAAACAAAATGTGGTATTATCCACACAAATGATATTCAAAAGATCACATGTTATGAAATATTTATATGTAATATTCAGAAAAGGCAAATCTTTGGAGACAAAAAGCAGATTAGCAATTGCTAGCAATGGTGGAAAAAGAAAAAGGAAGGAACTGATTATTAGATACAAGATTTTCCTTGTAAGGAGATGAAAATGTTTTGGAACTAAGTAAAGGTGAGAGTTGCACAACATTGTGAATGTACGGAATGGCTCATTTTACTGTTGTGAATTCTGTTATATGAATTTTACTTCAATAAAAAAGAAAAAACTCAACTTGTCAGGTGCTGTGGTGCACACCTATAATCCTAGCAGCTTGACAGGCTGAGGCAGGAGAATCTCGAGTTCAAAGCCAGCCTCAGCAACTTAGCAAGACCCTGTCTTTTTTTTTTTTTTTGGTACCAGGGATTGAATTCAGGGGCAGTCAACCACTGAGCCACATCCACATTTTGTATTTTATTTAGAGACAGGCTTAGTGGTTAAATGCCTCTGGGTTAAATTCCCAGTACCAAAACAACAACAACAAATTAAATGAACTCATTTCAGAATTTGCCTAACCCAAGTGATATTTTATTTTCTTTTTTAAAAAATTTTTTTATTAGTTGTTGATGAACCTTTATTCTATTTAATTATTCATATACAGTGCTGAGAATCAAACCCAATGCCTTACACATGCTAGGAAAATGCTCTATCACTGAGCCACGACCCCAGCCCAGAAATTTTCTTTTCTTTTTTTTTCTTTTTCTTTTTTAGAGGGGAGGGGARGGRGGGGGGGGGAGGGAGAGAGAGAATTTAATATTTATTATTTTTAGTTTTCGGCGGACACAACATCTTTATTTGTATGTGGTGCTGAGGATGGTACCCCACGCCGGCACATGCCAGGCGAGTACGCTACCGCTTGAGCCACATCCCCAGCCCAGAAATTTTATTTTCAATGCACTCAAACACACACAAAACTAACACTTTAAGTAGTATACACAAATATTTCATGTGCTTACTGTTCATCTTTTCTTATTATTAAAACTGTCAAATACAACAGTTTCTCCTTATCCCTGGGGGATACATTACAAGATGCCTACTGAGTGCCTAAAATCTCTAATAGCACAGAACACTATACAGTTGGCTCTCCTTATTCATAGGGTATATTCAAAAGAGGTTCCAGAAATTTCCAAAAAGTAAAACTTCAATTTGCTAAACACCAACCACTACATTAAATCCACATAAATTAAGTAGTATATACACATACCCTGCTATGGCCTCCGACCATTTCACAGATATTCAGTCTTTCCCCAGCTCCTATGTGAGCGTTGTTCATGTCAAGTCTTGTTAATTTACTCTAGCTAGACCAATGATGATGTAATTAACATGTGCATTCTATTTTTCTTGTCATTAGTCCCTAAAAATACAGTATAAGAACTATTCATATAGCATTTTCAGTGTATTACATAAGTCTAAGTAACCTAGAAACAATTTCAAGTATACAGGAGACTGTGCACATTATATGCAAATAATTACACCATTTCATAGTACATATAGTCATGTTTGGGACATCTGTGAGGTGATCCTGAAAAATGACTGTATAAGCTATGTTTTTTCCCATGTGTACACACCTATGGGAGAGTTTAATTCATAAATTAGGCACAGTAAGAGATAAACAATAACTGATAATAAAATATAATAGTTTATAACAATATGCCATAACAAAATTGCCAGCATCACTACTCTTGTGCTTTGGGACCATTATTAAGTTAAAWAGGAGTTACTCAAACACCAGCACTGTGCTACTGCAACAGTCAATCTGGGACCTAGGATGGTTACTAAGTGACTAAGGCAGGTAGGAGCACACACACTGTGAATGTGCTGGCCAAAAGGATGGTTCGTGTCTCACCTGGGATGGAGTGAGATGGTGTTAAATTTCATCACATTATTCAGACAGAATTTAAAACTTATGAACTGTTTATTTCTAGAATTTTCCATTTAGTATATTTGGACTATGGTTGACCAMAGGCAACTAAAACCTTGCAAAATAAAACCATGGACAAAGGGGACTGTCATACCTTGTTTTTAATTTAACAAATTTTTTTAAGGAGGAAAATTAATGTTCTCAAAGTAAGAACAAAAAACTTGATATTTTGTTTTAAACACTGGCAAATAATGCTCATATTTTGGTTTTGGTTTTTCTTTTATGTACCAGGGATTGAACTTGGGGGTACTTGACCACTGAGCCACATTCCCAGCCCTATTTGTATTTTTTTTTTTTTAGAGACAGGGTCTCACTGAGTTGCTTAGTGCCCCACCTTTGCTGAGGCTGGCTTTGAACTTATGATTCTCTTCCTCAGCCTCTGGAGCCGGTAGGATTACAAGCATGTGCCACCATACTTGGCTCACATTTTATTTTATCAGGATCAAAAGAGAAAAAAGGTGGGAAATGGAAAATGGAGGACAAAAAGAAGAAACAGAAGTAACAAAAATAGTGCCATTTAAAGTAGAGAGATTCAAAGAAGGGAGAGGAAAGGGAAAAAAGATCACAAGGG